TCAGAATACAATTCACAAATTTATGATAGGAAAACTTTTATAAATAAAATGCAGGTCGTTTAAGAAGATCAAATTCACCTGATGGCTTATCATAGCATATGACATAAGCTAGTGGTGTTCGTAGATTCTCGGAAGTCAGCCTTGCTAAATATGGATGTGAATTGCCTGCTAAAAGTATCATTTCATGGTTTCATCCGTTGTTCTTAGTTGTGCCATTGCATGTATTCTTTAGAAAACCAATTTTGATCAATTGCGCTTGCGATCAACTTATCACTTAAATTACTTTAAAGTTGGTTTTCCACTCACAAAAGTGATATGTATATCAATAATGCAGTGATTTGATCGAATACACCATTATGATGAATCTAATTCCAAACTTGATCTAGTTTCACTTCTGATCAGAAAACTTTCTCAATTGCAATTATTATAATTGACAAAAAGTGTTAAAAAATCCAGTGTGTCTTTGTTTTCTTGTGAGTGCAATGCAACTTGCAACTTGGAGAGTTTTAAGTTCAAAAAATAAAAGTTGGCAGTAAGCATTTGCTAAGGACGTTGTTTTTACTTTCCCAAACTGATTGATCCAGTATGTGTCCTCAATATTGCTAATGAACTTGAAGGATTGAATATCCAAAAAACCAATCACTCTTGTTCACTTTTTGTTAGAACCTCGCAAAACTAGCATTTCATATATAAGGCAAAATCAAGCAAATTGCATTGAAAAATTTGAATAAACAAATAAGCAGACTGCCATAACAAAAAAAAATGGCAGTGATCCTTCTGAATACTGCACACTTAGTTTTAGTATACAAATTTTTACTTATAGCAGCATAATTTTTAGCGATAACTTCTAGTGTTTGCTAGTATCTTATTCATAGCATAGTTTCTAATTTATCTCTGTTTTCCCTTTCTAAATAGCTGCACTAATAATTATGCTCCAAGAGAATTTTCCAGATTCTGATCCAGACTTATATTGCTGCTGTGGTATAAGTCAGCAAGAAACTGAACATGGCTTCAAAACCAATTTTGTTAAAAATAAATTTGATTCAAAAAGTAATTAAAGTGAAAGTAATCCATTGGCACTTACAGTAAGTGCTGTCTCTACGTATAGTTCGATAGTAATAACTTAATCACGCAAAGATTATTTAGCCATAATATCAGTTTTGAGGACCTTTGCATGAAGACAAGCAGCAAGTAATATTTGCTAAGAAGCTGAGATGAGAAGATAATTTGCAAGTATAGTTAATAGTTCTTGCGAGGTAAGAAGGATTATCCTCCGTGAATTCAACCAGCTGTTTTATGCTGCCTTCCCTCACTCGTTGGTATACCTACTTTTTAGATATGTTTGTTATTACTTCCACTTATCTTACCCTTGCATACTTACTACACTTCGAAAACGTTATTTCTAGTGCTTCCTTTAAGATTTATGGTTTAATTCATTCTGTTAAATAGCTTACCATGATTTACTCTCATCAAATAAACAGTAATAGTTGTTTATGAACAAATTTTCTTCTGTGATAACAAGTCTATCATGCAAAATGTAGTTGCAACAGAGACAACTTTCTTAATCTCGTATGTCAATTATGATGAACTTCAAGTAATAAGATTGGGAGCTATCTAATCCTAAATAATATTAATGTGAATTAAAGACTCCAGAGCATTATCTTAAGCATATAACGCTCTCTCCTCGACTCTGTGAAGTGAATTTTTAGAAATCTGCCTGAACACATACCACTTCAATTTTACTCATTTCTCGTAATTTAGGTTGCTCGTAAAGTGGTAAATGCAAATGTTCAACGCTCACATCTTGGTGATTCGTGTTTTGGATGCAAACAATGCAATTTTCATCAAAAGATAGATCACTGACCACCTTAAACAATTGTTTCTTCTGGTAGAGATCGTCTTTTGTAATCCTTCTTCCAGCAATGCAGATGACAGCTCAGTAACTTGAGCAAAAAACGTCGTCCACAAACATGTGATTGGTGACAACTTGCTGCACTGAGCATTCGATATGATGTTGTTGTACTTAATTGCATACTTTGCAAAATAAAACAAAGCAGATACAGATAACAGACCATCAATTCCATATGAATAAAAATAACCGAATCATTCACCAATGATAAGCAGAAATCTGCCCTTGAAAGTAGATTCTGATAATGACAGTGATCAAAGCAAACCAATACCTGTGACTGCTATTTTATTGAATAACTATAGACATGAAATTTAGATTTGTTACAAATGTTTAGCACTTTACTTCATTAGCCGAAGTGACTGACCATTCACATCACTATCTCTAGCACTACAACTTTTTTAAAAACCAGCCTTAGGATTAGTCTCTAAGCAAGTAAAAAAAGGACAGCAGAGGTGCTGCCACGACAAAAACTACCAAACTTCATCAGCATAAAATGAAAAACATTAAGAGAATATTGAAACTAAACATTAAAGTCTTAAATTGAGCAAAGAAAATCATTTTCTTTAAAAATACTAAACATGAGTTATAATAAATAAATTAAAAAAATCAGTTCTATACCAATAATTTTAAGACAAATCATACGCAGAACCCGCATCCAACATCTAGATTATATACCGTTTAAAAGTGGAGCAAAAAACCATTCACCACTCACTAATCTAATATGCAGGTCAAGAATCAATATAGTATAAAATCTCAACAGTTCTAGAATTATAAATATCTTTCTAGAATTAAATATACTTGTGAGCAGAAGATTTTTCTGGTCACTTTGAAATTTGAATAGTTTAAACTACCGAACAAAATACACTAAGTCTTCTTGAATGTATAATACAAAAACATAACGAAGTATTGTGTGTCAACAATTGCGAACATCTGGAAGTATAAACAAACAACATTATGAACTAACCAATTAACATTGTCATTCTAAGGAACCAACACGCAAAAAAAACGAAATTAGATTCAGTAGCATGCAGAACTCTTAATTTTATAAACATGATACCGAATCTAAATTAGAAGATGAACTGCTTTCCGTTATCTTACAGCAAGTTACATTATTTCTTCTGCAATTTTCGGGTGGACATGCCAATGCACAATGTGTTCCATTATTTCCTAGAGCATTCGCCATCTAAATAAAAAAAATTTTTGAAATCAGTGTGGAGTAAACTGAATCTCTGTACACTTGCTGCTATAAATCACAACAAACCAAACTGAACCATTTAGCCTCATATAAAATTAGTAAGTTTTGTACTAATCTATAAAAACTGCGATTAGAAACTATACTTCTGAAAATTCCGGTTGTATAGTAGTACTGTGGATGCAATTATTGTGAAATAATGTACGTATTTTATCAGCAGCAGCCAAATATGCTCTTAGATCAGAAAATTTGATATGCACCGTAGCAATAATTCTCTCACCCACCAATCGCCAAACATGAAATTCATGTATCGCCTCTACTCCCTCAATCTGAATGTAACAAATAAAAAGCATTAATTGAAGCAATGGAAATGATGCACTCACGAGATGAAAGTACACGAATTTTTTTTTCCTTATTTTTTATCTTTCTCAAGAAGATATATCCAAAAAAATTGAAAAAGAAGTTGGTAAAATTTACTTAAGCATTTGCAAAATCTTTGATCTTTACGTCTTTAAACTCCATAACATATCCTTTCATGAAGGAAGGTATGATGATATATGCGCACCATACACCAAAATTAGGGAAAAACTGAATTGTTAAGAAAATTTTATTAGAAAGAAGCACTCAGTGTCAAGTTAATGAAGGTAAAACTGACTTCAAGCAACTCCTTTTTAATCTGATCTAATTTTATAAAACCGGGCGTAGTTTGCATGAGAATTAGAGCCGTTTCCCGTACGAGTGGCAGTGTTGAAGCAATTATTAAAGCAACCATAATGAGACTGAAAAAACGAAGTAGAAAGGATGTTTTTTAACTGGACTATAATAATACATCAAAATGAGCGTATAAAGACTATTAGCGAAAGAATAGTTGTACAATACCGACACTTGAAACATGTTTCAATTTATAATCACTGAAACTGTTTCAAATATCGTACTGATATTTATTTTCCTGAAGAAAATAATAAACGTTTGAGAAGAGTTATTGAAGAAATGCATTAAACATCAGAAACCTTAAAATCGGATCCAAATAAAGTTTAAGAACTTTCTGTCCAGGTAATAACCAAGACGCAAGAGCCGTAATGATGACAATAACTGAACCAATTGCGTCACTTAGTACGTGTAAAAAAACGCCTTTCATATTCAGCTGCTCTGACAAATCTATAAATTTATAATGATGATCTTAAACTGCATTTTTCAGAAAAACAAGGACCACACACTATTATTTGGTCAAGCAAAATTGACTGCATTACTTGGACCACTTCAACTTACCTTTTCCATGTTTTTCCTTCCGTTTGTCGACTTGAACATGAATCTGTGAAACAAGACTTGCATTACCTGGATTAACTTCCTGAGGATTCGCCATTGCCATTGCTGCCTCCTGCAAAAAAGGTACTTGCCTCTCATATATGATTCAATATGAACGTTACATTTTCTGGCATATATATACTGCAATTAGTGCTTTAATAAATTATATTCAAAAATAACTAACAAACATGTTACCTGATGAGAGGACATTA